GAAACGTTACCTCAGTAGTAGTCGAATGCTAATACTAAAGCTCTAAAAGTACTCATTTTCTAAGAAATAATTGTGCTTCATATGCATACAAAGCCACTGTTTAAGGATTGTTAAAATTCACAGCCTTGCGATTCAAAAAACATAAAAACCCAAACACATTGCTCAGGCGGTTGCATATTGATTCTTCGAATCCGAAACGCTCAGCTGCGCCTCTTGAGAAATGACCGTATACGGCTGCCATAGTTTCATGTATTGCAGAGCTTCAATAACACAGAGTGATTACGGATGGGAATCGACCCGTGTACCTGCGTGTGGTACAATCAATGTGGCAATGAGCAAAAGGGCCAAGGAGATCACATTACGGTCTAATAACACAAAACACGAGAACATCGGCGAGGGAGGACAAAAAAAAAAAAAAAGAGGTCCTGTCAAGTAATAAAAACGAGAGGTGGTTGCTCCACATCTGAGGTAACAAATAGAGGAAGATGCGGGGAAGCCTAGGATGCCAAGTCCTTCTGTTTTCAGTTTGATAATCGCTTTCTGTTCCTCGGCATCTCACTGTCAGTTATCTTCTGAAGTCATCTGCAGGCAAATTGAACTGTCAGCCATCAAGATCTTTAGATCAATGTTTTTTACAAAATATCCGTTTTGTTCGTGGTTGTTTAACCCGGCGTCTCGTTCTTGATCGTGAATTGTAACAAATTTGACGTCATTGGAGAAAATTGTTGAGCTCTATCTTTGCTGTGTCAGATTAAACCGAGCAAAGAAGAGCCGTTTGGACTGATCCCGTTGTTTGGTCGGATCACAGTCTGGGTTTCGCAGGGTCGCGCCGCGGTCTGCTTACGGGTTCTCATCTCTTGTAGTGGCTCGGAGCGTCAGCGAACATGTATTTGAGTCTGTAGGCCTCCGCCAGTAGCAAACCCACCTCTTCGTTGCCCCAGTGTATTGTGGGAAGGTTCTGCAGGAGCATTAACAGGCTCTGAAAAGACATAAAAACACATTTCATAAAACTGGATCATTTAGTGGCTTTTATACAGCTGCCAGTAGCAGCTTTCCACCGCAAAAATACTATTTCCTGGCTATTATCTGTTCTCTGAAATGCATTTTTACTGTTCTCAACTCGAAATGCTTGCAATCAAGGCATGATTACAATGTTAGGATAATGTGATTCCTGATTGGCGCTGCTCTTAGGTCACTGCTTGTGTTTCGCGTGAGTGCGTGCGTGTGTGTGTGTGTGTG